CACAGCTCTAGAGAAGCTAGATGACAAGGAGGACCCTAAAAAGGACACATGGATCACCCTGGGAAGGGAAATTAGATGAGATCTACTTGGGTCAACTTGGGGAGGGGTAGTAAAGGAAAGGGAATGAGAACAGGAGGGAACAGGATGATCAAGGTGAAGAGGGATGCGGTGGAAGAGCAAGGAAAGTGATATCTTAATAGAGGGAGCCACTATGGGGTTAGAGAGAAACCTGGTACCAGGGTAACTCCCAAGAATCCACAAGAATGACCCCAGATAAGAGAAGAGGATCCCCAAACTGGCATACTCCTGTAATCAGATTGGTGAATACCCCAACTACCATCATGGAGCCTTCATCCAGTAATTGATGGAACCATGTGCAGAGATCCACAGCCAAGAACTAGGCCTAGCTCTGGTAATCCAGGCAAAGAGAGGGAGGAGAGAACACATGAGCAAGGGAGGTCAAGATTATAATGGAGAAATCTACAGAGACAGCTGAACCAAACTTGTGGAAACCCATGTTCTTTAGACCTACAACTGTGGAGACTGCAGGGGACTGAACTAGGCCCTCCAATAATCAAGGCTGGTAGAAGGATAGACACATAGACCAATGGTGTTCACAGAGAAATCAGAAGTAGTCCAACACAGTGTCTATAATCAATGTTTGGCCAAAGTGTAAAGGCAGTTTTATACACAAAAGATAGCAGAGCACTTAAATACCCATAGGCAAAGAGCAGTTAAATATCCATAGGCAAAAGAAAAGTATACCTCAAATTCACATTTTGTGTTTGAATCAATATAAAATAGATAATAAACTTAAATACAAATCTTGAAACTGTTAACAATTTCAGAACAAACGTATAGGAGAAAATTCCTGAGATCCAGAACTAGACACTTTTACTATCCATTGCTACAAAACATGATCCATAAAAATAAATTTTGGGGTTTGCTAGGTGGGTAAAGCACTTGTCAAACAAACAGCAAGTAGCAAGCATAAGGACCAGAGTTCAAATCCCTGGAACTCACATAAGTGCAGTGGCACATGTATGTAAGTCCAATGTTTGGAAGGTGGAAACAGGAGTCCCAGCTGCAAGCTGGCCAGGTAGACTAGTTGTGTGGATTAGTTCTGGGTTCACTCAAGAGACCTCTCAATGAACAAGATAGAGAGCGATTAAGGGAGACTCCTGACATCACCATCAGGACCCCATACACACAAATGCACCCACACACATGTGGACAAACATATACATGAAAACACACACACACATATGTACATATATGCATACCACACATACACGTCCTTATAAGAAACCCATTTTATCTGTAAAAGCCCGTGAAAAGAGAATGAAAGATACACTAGCTACTAGGAGAAAATATTTACAGAGATACAGACATCAAATAAACACATGGCAAGATGATAAATAGCATTAGAGCCAACTTTCATACTACATAGTTATGATTCTAGCGTTTTGGAAATTAAAGCAAGAAGAGCATAAGTTTGAAGTCAGGCTGAGATACAAAAGGGGGTTTAATTTTTTGTTCGTTTTTTTGTTTTGTTTTGATTGATTTTTCGAGACAGGGTTTCTCTGTAGCTTTGGTCCTGGAACTTGCTCTGTAAACCAGGCTGGCCTCGAACTCACAGAGATCAATTTTCCTCTACCTTCCAAGTGCTGGGCTTAAAGGTGTTCCCAGAGGAGTTAAATCTTAAAGAAAAAAATCATTAGATATTAGGGAAATATAATTAAAACAAAAATTAATGTAAGTGCAAATCTACTAGAATAAATAAAATAATAGCAGCAGTACATGCTGGCAGAAATGCACATAAGCTATATCTCACACACATTGGCAATGTGCATATTTTTAAAAAAGTATAGTTGCTCTAAAAAGAATTAGGAATTACTTATACAATTATATGTGCAGCTGCCGAACAAACAAGAATATCACTATTGGCTATTTATTCTAGAGAAATGTAATATTGTTTATGCAAAAATTGTAGACAAATACTTGTAGCAACCCTTTTGTAATAGCACAAATTTAGAATCATCCCTTCAATGAGTGATCACACAGATATAACTGTATCATAGAATATTGCTCAACAATAAAAAGATCAGGCTACTAATAGGTAGAAAAACTTGGATTTGCTTCTAGAAGATCATCTTGGGGGAAAATCTTTTTTTTTTCTTTCAGATTTTTTTATTTGAATTAGAAACAAAATTGTTTTACATGTCAATCCCAGTTCCCTTCTCCCTCCCACCCTTCCCTACCACTGCCCCCCCCCAACTAAAACCCTACTTATCACATATCTTTTCTGTTTCCCCTGGATGGTGAGGCCTTCCATAGGGTGTCACCAGAGTCTATCATATCCTTTGGGATAGGGCCTCGGCCCACCCCGTGTGTCTTGGCTCAGGGGGTATTCCTCTATGTGGAATGGGCTCCCAAAGTCCACACCTATGCTAGGGATGAGTACTGAACTACTACAGGAGGTCCTGTAGAGAAAATCTACTTTCAAAAGATTACATACTGTATGATCCCATGTAACATTCTTCAGTGATAAAAATATTGGTAAAAATATTGGCATGAAGAACTGTTTTGCCAGATAGGTGACAGAGTGAAAACAATGGGTGTGACTAAAAATAATAACACAATCATTATGGTGATCTATATCTTAACTGTGGTGGTTGATATTAATCTACAGATGTAAAATATCATAGACCAGGTAAATAACTATGTTTAAAATGATGAAAACAGAGTAAGGTAAGGGGATGTCAAAATGCCAATTTTTGGCCGTGATGATATAGTACAGTTATGCAAGATATTTAGTTTGAGGGAAAAGTAGGTGATTCTGGATCCTTCTGAATAATTTCTTACAGCTGAAAATGAATCAACAATCTTATAGAAAACAAAAAGTCTACAAGGAATATGAGATTCTTTGTGATCCCATTTCCATTTACTAAATAGAGACCATAAGGCATGTAGAAAGTCATAAGCGTAAGTTGGAAAAGAACTGGTAGGAAGGCTACAGTTTGATGCACCTCAAGTACAGCTGCAATTCAAGAATTAAGACCAGAACTAAAAGAAGGACCACAACATTTATACTAATAAAGAATCACTCAAGGAATTACAGCAGCCACATTTACTGTTGCCAAAAAATGTATAAATGATCTTGAGTGGATTCAATAGAACTAATTAAGCAGAACCAATTGACAATGATAACTTGCTTTAAGCCACTAAGTGTGGGGATGTTTTATTATGCAGTAATCTAGATACTATAACAACCAGCAGGGGTGAGTGGTTTTAGCCAGCTAGATGAGATTTTAAATCCCAGTGAGTCATATTTATTTCAAATGCTAGGCTCCATGATTGTCCCTGTTTCTTAAAACCCATTTTCCTGAATACTTCTGTAAACATGTTAGAAGGGATGCCTAGAGTTGGAGCACTCACACAAAGGAAATTGAACAACCAGTTGTAATCCTTGAAGAACTCTGCTTAGCAATACAGAATATCAGCACATTAAACGGCACAGAAACAGCTATAAGGCAACAAATCTCCAAGTTCAAACTAATTTACTACAGTCAAATTGAACGCATGTGGCAATGTATGGCTATAGACGTATGGCTACAGAATGGAGCTAGACATTTTAAGCCCCCAAGGCAACATCTCAGAAAGGGCGGCTCTCTTTTGTTAACAATGAAATAAACATCCCCAGCAATGCCAGGCCTGGTTGAATGATATTAATGCTTAAGTAGGTAGAAAAAAGAGGGTCCCTTCCAAGGACAATTCTTGTTTCAATTTTCATTTGTTTCTTGGGTTTTTGTTTGTTTGTTTGCTTGCTTGTTTGCTTTTGGCTTGCTTTTAGCTAACCACAATTTCATTGAACATCAATTTTATTTCCATCTGTAGACTGGAGACCATGGAGTGCAGTGAGTTAAGAATCAGGATAGATGAATTAGAATCTCAAATATGTCATTTACTAGCTGTGTGACCTTGGATACATCCACTGCTAGTACCAGTTTCCATCTCTGTGAATGAAGAAGTTGATCTGAATGGCACAGGAGATCCACAGTACCTCATAATTGAGGCCACTGATCATTTCGACTATAAGCAAAGTGTGAGGGTTTTAAATACTAATATTGATGTAGTGCCATAAAGTGGATCACAGACATTTCAAATAGCAGTATTATTCAATTCATGTCCAAAACACTCTTCAGCTCTCCTCTAAATAGGGGCACTTAAAGTACAAATGGGTTCTGTCTGTCAAGAATGTGCTTCCGTGAGTTTTCTAGGATTCTGATGAATCTCTAAACTGTATTCCTTCACATAAATACACATCAGGAGTAGTGTGTCTAGGAGCTCCAAGAAACATTACTCAGGGTGCTGTTGTGATTTTTCAGTCAGGCCCTTAGTCCAACATAAAATCTGCAGGACTGCTAAAACAGTGGTGGTGATGAGCCACTTCAAGTTTTTTTTCCCCTTTAAAAATATTTAACAGTGGTCCGTCCCTCCCTGTACTAGCCAGGGATTGGGAGATCCATCTCTTCATGGCCCGATGTGAGATTTCTGAGTCCATTCCCCTCCCTTACGCCTTATCCTCATCACCCCCATAAAAACACCAAGTTTTGTCACTTGACATAGTGAACATAGGAGAAATGGCCAGAAATGATACGATGTGTCTTAGGGCGTAATTTGTGAGGTCGGTTCGACTTGCACACAGACCTCAGACTAGGTGCAGAGGGAAAGGTCCTTGTCCTGCTTGAGAGAAGCTTCAGGACATCCAGGCAGGGGAGCCATGGATAGTCAGAGTTAGGGTCTTCAAGACATTCACCAGAGGTGGGGTGCTCCTCGGAGCATCCAATGCAGAAAAGGAGGATGGGCTGCAGAAGATGTGCGGTCCCTTTAAGACCCCAACGCTCTACTAGCCAAAGGAGGGGTGTGTGGTGGGGGCGCTGCGTGATGGGAAAGTGCCGGCTGAACCTCACACTTTCTCCCCGTTTTGTAACTTTCAGGTCTGGGGTGTAGGAATAAAGCCCGGTGCTGGGACTAAGAAGGAGTGAGTGCTTACAGCGGCT